AGTTTTCAAATGTTTGTTCAAAGATGAGACTGTAGTTACTTCTGATAACATGGCATTTAACCTAACAGCATTAACAGACCCCTTGTCTAAATAATTTTTAAATAATTTTAAGGACAGGTGAGATGTAATTGACACTGACTGCTTGAATAATTCATTAATAATCATTATTGGTGTCTGTTTAATTTTTTGTGTGGAACACAATGCTGAATGAATCCCAAAATCTGTCCCATCTGTGATTTAGCCTCAAAAATTATGGATAATATCATTTACTTAAGTCAGAYAAAATGAAGTAAAACCAGGGAACATGCCAAACACACCTGTTTCATAGCTGACTCAGCAAATCTCCCAATAAAGACTATAGCATAAAACTTCTGCAAAGTCACTGGACCATACAAGATCTCAAAATGGCAAAAGGCTTGCTCAGGTACAGTTACACTGACAGAAATTACCTCAGCAATAACATTTACTTCAAAAGACAGTGCATGTATAAAACAGACCGGTATGGACACATTTTTACAAACAGAAACTGAATCCAACCCTAGGAGAACTCATCCTCAATCAAATCTCCCTCTGTAGAGCAGGCTTATGCTCAAAAGCTAGAAGGATTGCAAGTGGGAAAGAGATGGAAGAGCAGCAAGTGCATAATCTGTTAAAGTCTAAAAGTGCTTAATAAAACTAACCCAAAAAGATTGAATTCAACACAATATAAGGTTATATTCCTTAGAAAGAGAACTCAGATTCACATATATGAAGAAAGAGATAACTGATACAAGAAACACTAGTATGAACTCCTGTGTTAGCAAATGCAGGAGCCAAGAACCTGATGCTGTTAGCAAGGGAAAAAAAAAAAGCCCCAACAACAAAACAAAAACAAAACCCAGCCATTCCTGCATGCACACACCCTAGAATGCCATTTTAATAAGGCCGTCACGTTACTTCTGCTACTTACAGAGTAACTTACCACTCTGTTGCTCAAAAACTGTCTGTAGAACTTTGAAAAAGATACAGACAAATCTCACAGAGCACAGTGAGAGTGAACAACAAAAATCCTGTTTGCACAGTTGAGTAAAGAGAAGTCTGAAATAAAAGGAGACAGAGTCTTCATGTATCCAAACACTTGGTGAAAAGGGCATAGAAATCATTATCCTGCATGAGTAATAAGAGTTGGATGAGAATTAACTGACTTAACTAGCACCAAAACAGAGACTTAAGTTAAATGTTAAGAAAAGCCTCCTAACGCCAGTAATAGTCATGTACCAGCTAAAAATAGACCAGTGAAGAGGTGTGGTATTCCCCTTTTCTGAGTTTTTTAAGAAAAGATCAGACAAATGTCTGTCAAACATGATTGCTTCTGCCTCTAGTGGGGGGTGACCTCTTGAAATCCCTTCCCTCTTTACACATGCATAATTTCTTCCTTCATCCAAATGAGAAATGTTCATCAGCGTTATACCTGGGCTTCAAAAGTACAGTCTTTCCAATACAAGTAGTATTTGAATACAAGAAGTATTTGAATTTTATTACATTGCTATTGTTAGATTATTAGTGTGCTTGGCACAAATCATCTCAGGMAAACAAAAGCAGCATCTTTTACTGCTGCAGACAATCTGCAAAAATGGACAAATGATGAATGGATATTACAGAAGGAGGAGCAAGTGAGAAAGATATTGTGAAGGATTCGAACAATGCTGAAAAAAGCTGAAAATAAAGTTACAACAAAGAAAAAATACTTTAGCCTAAAGAAAATTATTTTCCCCTCACAAGAAAAACTTGAGTTRAAGTTTGCTGGTATACCTTCAAAAATATGCAATAAGTTGAGATACAAAAGTACACGTAAGTAAGGCTTCACAAACAGATGGGATAACAACACATCTCTACAGGCCTCCATGCATTATCAATTCCCAGCTCCCGGTTTCTAAAGGACAGTGCAGATACTTCTGCTTTGGCCTTGCTCAAGTAAGTCCAACTTCAAATAACCTCATAAAGCTGGGCCCTAAACTATGCCACATGTGTATCTGTGGGGCAATTATCTCWAGAGCAGTGGTTCACATTTCCCAGGGAAATCCCTACAATATCACAATACAGACCTCCATCTTTTCTTACTGTCACCAGTCTTCCTGAAGCTTCTAAAAGATTACATTTAAGGTGAATATATTAAAACATCCCAGAAAAAAACCTGCAAATAAGCATGTTTATTATAAGAAACTGGGTTTACATAGAGCCATAAACTGCATTTGTCTTATTATTAAATCAAGATGTCATGCCAAGGGTCCAGAAGTGAGAAGTGAATCACAACTAACACGCTGCATTCTGAACATGTTCCCATGTTTCCCATGTTATTCTGCAAGCTGTGTGCAATTATAGCATGCATGATCTATTTTGACCTTAGCACTACAAAATACCAAAATATTAAAATAGCAGATGTAGTATTTATTCCAAAAGAGATTTTTCTTTCTTCCCACAGAAAAGTCAGTGTGTTCAGTAGGATTCTGATCCTACTGATTTTTTTTTCAAGTTTACTACTGTGTCAGTTCTAGTACAGAATTTTAAAATTTACTTTTAAAAATTAAACTTTCAGGACAGGAAACCTAATAGTTTGCTACATAGATAAACCTAGAGTCTCTAGGCAATATACATATTTACATTTGTTTGACATTCATATGAAAACACATGACATATTCTGCAATAACTACATCAATCCATCAAGTTTTCATCATTCATTTTTTTTTTCTCCACATAGTCCAAACAAAGGATAATGTTAGTAGTACAAAACAACTAAGAAGGCATATACTAGAAAATAGGTTCATTACTCCAAATTAAATGAGACACATAGATCAGAACACCTTTGGCTGTGTGTTATATAAGAGGGGGAGCAAATGAAGGAAATCAATCCATTTTAATACTCAGGCTGCATTTTGTAAGAAAACATTACTTGTAAGTCCAGAGGATACCCAGCTAGAGAGTCACTGAACAACTTGTCACAAAAACAAATTACATATTTTACTCATTACTTTTGACTTAATTTGCTGAGGTAAAAAGTCAGCCTGCAGTAAAGATGAAAGAAAATAAAAAACAACTTAAGATTGCCAAGACTGCAAGGCTTTTTTCTCCATAGCTGTCCATAAATACTTGTTATTAATGACATGGTTTTAAAAAACAGTAATTCTGATTTGTACCTAAATATGAACAACTTTTCAGAAATGATCAGGAAAAAATGTAACGGGAAAACTGTAACTGTGGACTAAATTAACAGCCTGACCAACTTGCTGGCTTTCTCCAGAGAAAACTTTATGATAAAACAATCTCTCCTGCATTTAGCATCACTAAATTCCACAAGCCTGCGCAGTGACTAGCTTTCCCAACAATCACAGTAAAGAACCACTGACACACCTATRACCAAAATTGAAAGGTTATTAATTTCTACCATAAATTAGTTTTATCAACATAAAGCAGAAACAAAGCAAAAAAAGCTTCCCTACTGATACTAAACAACAACAGAATGCTTATTTCCCCACATTAATGAATTCTGTCATAGCTCTACCTAATAACATTTACTATAAAAACTCCTAAGATTACCAAACTATCCTAAAAAAAAGAGTTTATTTTGACAGTTTAGAAATCTCAACAAGCCAAGGCAAGCAATGCAAAAACATCTGTTTTCTTCGCCTTAGTCTTCTATTACTGCCAGGTAAACCACCTGTTCAAACACCAAGAGAGTTCATCAAGGTAAACTCGACACAGGTTTTTCTTTTCAAGCAATCAATCTGACAAATGTTATCTTCCTATTCTGCTTTATCAACATACAGTAAAAACTTGGGGGAAAAATCCAAATAACTATATACAGCTTCACTATCTGAATCGACTCTGGGTTCAATACATATTGGTGGCACCAATGTTCAATACAATTGGTGGCATCAGTGTAAATGAAACAGAGCAAAATGAATTAGAGCAAGTTCTCATTTTTAAAAAGATTTTTGAGGAAATCAGTTAATTACAAAGTCACTGTAAGGAAAGGTACAGGTAAAARCAGAAAAAATAGCAACGAAAAAACATTCCGAGGCTTTTCAGTGTGTCAATACTAGCTCACCAAAATCCCCTTCCCTTAAAAATATCCACAGGGAATTCCGTAGGAAAGAACACTTTCTAGGGTATTCCATCAGTAAGTGCTTTGCCACGAGAGAACCGAAGACATTGTGCAAGACAAGCCTGTAGACACTCACTCTGCTAATACGTCTCTGCCATATACACAGCAATACAATTCCGAAGGCCTCTAAAGCTCTACAACGTGCTGCATTGTTTAAAGAAAAGAAACGTTGTAGTTGAGAGAAATTTTCTACACAGATCAGAAATCCCCCTTACTTCAAGGCAGGCTTCTATTATCTTTTACCACCCTCTTAGAGGACACTTCATGATACAATACAGCTTACAAGCGCTCAGTTAATTTAGGGCTTTGATCTTCAGCAATGCCACAGCCAAAAACGAAAACCAGATTTATGAATCAAGAGAAACCAAGGGTGAAAAAAAAAAAAAAAAGAACAAAAAACCCCCCAACCTCGTGGGTGCTGCAATGCACTTCAAAAGCAACACGGGAATAAATAATCCAACATTCACTTTTTCCCCTGACAAAAACATCTCGCAGAATTTGACCTACATACCCAATTCACAGCACGGCTACCACTGCAGAGCAATTCAAAGACGAGAAACCACAGCATCAGCGAGCAATCACGGGAAGGTTTAGGGTGACATGGAAATACTCGTAAGGCACGTAAAACACTTAAGATACTGCAGCGGTAACATAASTAAGCAACATTAGCGTGTGTCTCCCGGCACCGCAAACAACTACACCGCCGCGCAGCTCCACCGGCACCGGGCCGGGTTCGTGCTGTCCCCAGCCCGGGCACTTCAAGGCCGCCCCACGGTCCCCCAAGGCGGCCGGGCAAACCCGCCCCAGGGATCCCCCGCACTCGGGCCGCCCCCCGCCCGCCCTCTCCCCGCGCACCRACCTATGTCACGGTAGAGGCCGGGAGGCCGCCGGGGACCCCCCGCGCTGCCCGGCGGCGGCGGGCGCAGCCCCGGCTGGGCGGGCGATGCGGAGACAGCGGCCAGGATTCCGGAGCGGAGCCCACCCCCCCGGAGGAGGGGGGGAAGGGGCCTGGGGCCTGCCCGCGCCGGGGCACGGCGGGGACGGTGACAGGCGGCACGGAG